AAAGATAGTGTCCCTTTCACCTGGTGGCAGGTTTCAGGGTTTAGTGACAACCTCTAATGTATATTCCCACGAGAAGACCATTTGTTTTTTAATCCCAGACTGCCTGTGTACACACACACAGGAATACACAGGACAGTCCTGCTGACAGTCACGTCCACACAGTCTCCAGACATCAGACAGTAGCCATGCAGTGATTAGACCTCCGAAGTTCCCACAGGTACTAATTATTTATAGCTCCCTCTCTCTGTAACACACTCACACAGCGAAGGTGCACACACACCTGTAGCCGCTGCTGCTGTACCCTGCTGTTAACATAGCTGTGGTTAGGGCTGTCATTAAATGTGGGCGTTGACATCATTGTGTATGATTATACAGGTGTTTATAGTTCTGGATGTAATGACTCTTATGTCAGAGCTGTGGCTGAGCGTGTTGTGCAAGTTGGTACGTGTGTGTGTGTGTGTGTGTGTGTGTGTGTGTGTGTGCTTGCTGTCTGAAAGCCGTTTTATCATGTCAGTCTCACCGTTAGGAATGAAGAGGAGAAACGGAAGCGGAGGAGGAGGAAGAGAATATCACAGGACACCAAGATGGATACCATACCAAACTGTGAAGCTTGGTGAGTCTGCAGCACGGATTCGGTTTTGTTTTCAGCCCTCAGCCAAGACGGATACGCCAAGCAGTCATATTCACTGCCACATAAAGTCCTGCGCCTCTATGGAAACAACACAACGATAGTTAGAAAACAAGACAACTCCATCCTGTCTTGTTTTGCAGGCTGACAGAGTAAAGTCATAAAGAGAAAAAAGCTTCTCAAATAGTGTCTTTACAAATACTGAATAAACCAAAGTCAACATGTACAATATTTTTCAAGTGCCCACATGTGTTACAACATATGAAAAAAAAAATGGTGACCCTACATACCAATGATATTTTGCATTTTACGTTTTTAGTTTGTTCTCCTCCTTTTTGAGGAGCAGAAACTGTTTGGGGTTCGAACGGTTAAGCAGAAAACTTCATATATGTTGACATAGACACAGTTTTAGTGGTCATGTTGACATAATCCACTCACCAGGTAGACTTTCCTGATGCTTTAACAGTTTTTACCAGCAAACTAAACTACTACAACTAAATGCTAAATCACTAACAGCACTGGAAAGAGCTAAGACACAGAACCTGTTATTATTAGTTCACCAAAGTCACCCAATTGTTTATTTCATGGGACTTTGAATGTCCAAATTTCATGGCATTTCATCCAGTAGTTGTCAATATTTATTCCTCTGAGCCAAAGACCAACATTTCCACCATTGGCTTAGCAAAAACTCAACTGTGATCTTCTGTCACTTCATGTATTTTGATGTAAAACTAGTTCCTTAGTTGACTGAAAACACTGTTCACACATTTAGATTGAACTCCTTTGCTCTCTCGAGTACTATCGCTGTGTGCTTCAGTGTCCAGGAATCCAGGATTAATGATACACAGATAAACAGATGGATGTCCAACGTTTATATACAGTAGAAATGGTTGCCCAAAGTACTTTTTCTGCTGAGCGGAAGTCAAAACAGCAAGTGTGGGGAAAAAAATGGTTCAATCAGGAATGTAATGATTTTTTGTCTCTTTTTTTTGTTTTAAATCATCTGTCTACAGTAAAAATGTGCAATAAAATAACAAAAAAAAACAAAAATCCGTATAATTTCCGCTCTTTCTTCATCAGCACCAAACCCTCAGTGGATGAAATCCGGCTGTGGTCCCAGTCCTTCGACAAGCTGATGAGGAACCCAGCGGGTCGAAATGTTTTCCGGGAGTTTCTGCGGACGGAGTACAGTGAGGAGAACATGTTGTTCTGGCTGGCCTGCGAAGACCTCAAACAGGAAATCAGCAAGGGCGCCGTTGAAGAAAAAGCGCGTTCCATCTACGAGGACTACATCTCTATACTGTCGCCAAAAGAGGTAAGAGTTGGTTCAGCAGCAATAAGAGAGCTCTGTCCTTGACTGATAAACAACCAACTATACATCATTAAAAGGAAGCTCCTTTGCTCTCCATTGCACTCAGCGTGGCTTCCATGCAGGTTTACCAAGGCGTGCTAGTCCGTGGTCACCTTTGCTTCCCGTTGCCTCTGGCTTTGGCGGTCTAAAACCCTCTACCTTCACTAAAGTGGTGCACTCCTAGACCCCTTTACCACCAAGAAGTACCAGGTGCTAGCTCGTTGCTGGTGCTAGTTCCAGTGCTTAGTTGGTTCAGATCTCGCATCTCCTGAGAACCTGTTCGCTTTTCCATCGGCAATGAGTCAAGTTAGAGCCACACCATACGTCACTGCATACCGAACAACGCTCGCGCCATACAGAAGCCCACACAGGGCTCCAGACTTCTTACTGGTGTGACCAAGTTTCTCATTTTGTCGTACTTCCCACCATGTCACAGGCAAAACTGATGACTTGCTGAACATTTTCTTATCAATAGACGCTACAATTTACCGATGTTCCCTGAACGCCCCACATTGCAGGTTGTGGTGGCTGCGGTTGGTGGCCAAAGTGCTCAGACAGGTGTGCGACCAAAGATGACTTTAAAAAGAGTAAACCAGGACGTTCTAATCAGATTTGTCCAAGATGAAACCAAGTGATTTTTTCTTATGCGGTCTTTTGTATGAGTGGAATAATCAGCGCATGTAGGTACGTGTGCACCGTTTTTCAAGAAAAGACTGCATCTCTAGACATAAATACAGCAGTTCACCGAAGTTTTAAAAGTACTGTTTTCCACCACTGTGGTGCTGCTGGTGGGACACAGTTGTACCAGAATTCATCGCATTTGTGCAGAACTTCCGTGTCCCGGGACTCATTCCAACACAGCTGTGGACCAGGGACGTCCTGGTGAAAAACAGCACAAATTACCGTTTGTGTGTCCCATTCTGTGTTTCCATTGGTCTCGTTGGTCACGATGACCCCGTCCCCAGCCCCTGACGTACTCACTGCTTAGCTCTGGCCCAGCAAAGAGTTCCTAACCTCCAGTTTCAAGAACCTGGTGCTAAGTCAGGCTCTGACTCCGAACTAGCACTGGAACCAACTTGGTGGAAAAGGGGTACCATTGGCTAACACTGACACCTGACAGACTTGAAGTCAGGTGGAGGCCAACTTGGGGGTCTCCATTTGGTGACAGCCAGTCCAGATCAGCTGCTCTGAACTTAACCTCCGCCTGGTAGAGTGGCTTTGCCCTGGCCACCATCCACACACCTTTGGTTTTCTTTATTTATCATAGTGAGATGATTCCTTTGTCATCACTTATGCGTGTAAATGTGTTTATTTGTGTCTTTTTCGTAGTTGCATTAACATTATAACTAATACCTTGTGTACCACGTGAACAGGATGAGGAAAAATTCTCGACAATAATCAACATCAACTAAAATTAAATGCGTTGCCACAATAACTTCTTCAGGTGTGTTATCCAGCCGTAAGCTCTGTCGAGTTTCTCTGCTGCCTCTGAAGCTCAGCTGCACATTTAGAGGCCTTGATTTGTCAGCTTTATTGCACGTGCTCAGTGTTCACACAGACAGCCACACCAGGACCAACTCATCGACCCGCTCTTTATTGGTGGTTGTAAAGTTATAGAGTAGTATACACAGCATGAATGGATCAAAGTTTTGTTTTTTTTACTGCCGAGAAGTGGGGGAAGCATTGTCAACTTGGCTGCTGCTATTTTTAGCTCAATGTGTGTGTATTTGTGTGTGTGTGTGTGTGTGCAACAGCGGTGGCTTTATTTAGTGTGAGTTTCTGAAGGCTTGGCTTGTCAGGCTCCATCACTGGTGTGTGCATGTGTGCGCTGGCACGTTTGGACGCCCAGTGTGTTTGTGCGTACAGTTGTCTGCATGTATGCGTGTGTGCAGCGTGTTTTTACAGGAAGCTATAAATTGCTGCTCTCATCACCTTCTGGCAGTTGAGGCTTTTTATAGACGCAGAACGCCCACACGCACTAAAATACAGAGATATCCAGACGTGTGAGTTTGGCAGAGAAGATGCATGGCTGGCTGTCTGTCTGCATGTCTGACCTTGGTACGATGCCTATCTGTGTGTGTGTGTGTGTGCCTTTCCTAAATAAGAACAGAGGGAAAACACAAGAGAAAGCTTGTCGTTCTATAAATATCTGCTGGTGCCGAGGCTGCGGGGCCACTCTGACTGTGTCTGTGTACGAGTGTCCCACTGCTGCTAACCTCATGTGTTCATGCTCGGGCTGAAAAACTTATCACTATAACATTTTTCATTTCAGTCCATATTGATGATTGTATTGTTTTTAATTTGCAATAAAGACGAGAGGGAAAAAATACACACACACACACACACACACAAAAGTAGAAGTCTACTAAAAACAAAACATGGAGAATATTTTGAGGTAGTTAAAAAAGTGGAAGTTTAATGAAATGAACAAATAAAGTGTAAATTGGATGTAGAAATCTCCGTTATGTTGGACTTTATAAAGACGACAATGAAAAACAGGTGGTAAGTGTTTGTTTCCTCCTTGAACTTTATTATTTCATTTCATAATCATTTCAAAAAACAACGATCCCTACAGTATATGGAGATGCCGAAAAAATTAAATAAAATAAATTAATTTAAAATATATATATATATATATATATTTTTTTTTTTTTTTAATTAATATATGTATATATATATATATATTGTCGAGAATGTTGAGAAAACAAAATATATATATGTTTTTTTGTTGTTTTGTTTTACTTTTTTTTAATTAATATTGATAATTGTCGAGAATTTTTAACGGGCTGTTTTTAATAAATGTAACCCCTTTATCTTATTTTTTAAGTATATATTTTTAAAAATATTTATTATTATCCAGGCTTCTTATTTTTTTATTTTCTTACTCTGCTAAACTGTAAATGAGGTCTCCTTTCCTAAAATTTGCTCGGAACTTAAAGGTTAAATGATTTCATCGAGGTGCGTGGGCACACAACACTGACATATGCACAAATAAATACATTTACATAAATAAAGATAAAGTAATAATCTCAGCTTGATACAAATAAAATTAAGTTGGTAACACCCAGAGGTGCACAGAGGGTGAAGCTACACCGAGCACCCAGGTTCAGGTTTGAAGTGGCTGGCCAGGACCAGGTGTAATCCCTGGAGACGATGCTTGATGCAGACGTTTATCTCATTAGATTTCAGTGTCCGAAGTGAAGATTGTAAAACACGGAGTCAATCAACTGAAAATTGCATTATGAGGATTTGCAGCTGTGCTATCATTTGCAACGTTACACTGAATTTAACTGGGTTGTGGAAAAGCTGAGATTTAAACCAGCTAATGTCGGTTCTATTCACTTGAACCAGTGCGATTTGGGAATTCTCTCGGGTAGGGGTGAAATGAATCTCCAAAGCATCTATTGCACATTTAGTTCAGCTCTGGTGAGTTTGTGGTCACTGAAAAAATCACGGTTGCATACCTGCAAGTGGTGACAAAAACATGAGTCACACCGGTATCCTGATCAGTGCAGCTCACACCTGTCGAATGTACATAACAATGCAGCTCTCTATTCAGGCCCGACAGGATCCAGATGTGAAAACGCAGCACTGAGCCTTGCGATGTGTCGTCTTGTTTCCCTCCAGGTGAGTCTGGACGCCCGGGTTCGAGAGGTGATCAACAGGAAGATGCAGGACCCGACGCCTCACACGTTTGAAGACGCCCAGCTGCAGATCTACACGCTGATGCACAGGGACTCCTACCCACGGTTCCTCTCCTCCAACATCTACAAGTCGCTGGTCCACGGCGGCTCTCGTACCTCCTCCGAATCCTAGTCCCGCACCACCTCCGCCCCCCCCACACTTTGTGCGATCCTTAAGGGATTGACGCCAGAGCATTTCATCTCTTCTCTCGCACACTCCTCCCGCTCCAAAACTTTCCAAAAAATGATCACTCCTTTTTTTTGCCTCCTCTGTTCACTTCTACTTTTCCTCAAACCTCTCAGATTACTGCCAAGACTTTCTCCAGTTGAGTCCCTTCTTCTGCATTCCTTGTCTTTACTCATTTCTTCTTCTTTTTTTCTTCTGTTCCATCATTGTTCTTGAACTAACAGCATCTTAAAAGGTAAATTTGACATTCTTTATGCCCTTAAGTATTTTAAAACATAGCACAACTTTAGTTTGGCAGGATGACAGTAAAGGCACCATCATAGGACATACATTTATATTTATTATTTTATGCAGGAGCTCTAAAAGTAATTAATTTTTAATTGTTTCTGCAAGAGAATACAAATATTTCAGTTAATAAAAAGCTATTATTAACTGGGCAATTTACCATAAACACCTGATTTAAACTAAAAACCTGCTTTTTCCAGGGTTTTTACTTGCATCTTGTGGTTCTGGTTAAATGAAAGTTGCTTGAAAAAGCTCAGAAAGATGTTTTAAAGATCCTGATAAAGTTAATAAGAGACCCGGATGTGAAGTTACAGCCGGACTAATGCTGCATTGTTGGTATTTAACTGTAAAGAAAATACAGTTAAACAGTATCTACCAATAGTAATTAACATCAAAAACTATTTTACATTTGTTTATTTACGGATTTAAGCCTCAAACCGGCTTTAAAACTACTGGTCCAAGAATGAAGTTAAACACTTTTGATCAGGGTCCTTTACATTTTGGTTAAGAACAAATTGTGCCATACAGCTGTTAGGCTGAACCGCCTCCATCCTGAAACCTGGTTTTTGTCTCTCCTTAACTTCTGTCCATCCCTATCCATGTATTCTTCTTTTATCCACCTTTTTCCCCCTCCCTCATCTCTCTTCTGTTTCCCACCTTTCCGCTAATTTCCACGTCAGCAGCCACGCCTGAACGGAGAAAGAAGCGATCTGGGACATTCAAGTATTTTTGAGAGCTCACCCACAGTTACATGGAGATGTGACATGACTGGCTTTGGGAGATTTTTAATGCATTTCATGGGGGAGGGGGAAATATTCATCTGTGCCATGAGTTCTTAGCAGTGATTTACCAGTTTTGCCCACACGACCGTCCAGTCACCTTTAAGAGCCAGCTGAAGGTGGACCTCCCAGACTTCACCTCATCGCCTTCTTATTCGTCCTACGGTTGCCTCTGCTCCAGGAAAGGTGGATGACGTCTCGCTGCTTTTCTTTCTCTTTTCTTTTTCTGTTTCAACTGGAAACACAGGGTGCTCCCTCCATCTCCCGCTACGAAAAAAACTTAAGTTTGTTGTCCCGTCTTGTTTGCTGGATCAATCATTTCACTCCTGTTTTAAACAAACGGACAAAAGGAAGGCTGCCGCTTCCTTCCGACTACTGATTTACAAACAGACTAGACGTCTATTTTTTAACAGAAAACTCTATATGGAACATTTTAATTATGCTAATTTTGTTTTCTTTTTGGGAGGGGGGGGGGGTTGTTTTATTGTTCCTCCCACTCTCTCCCCTTCCTGGATTTTTTTTTTTTCTTTTTTGCAAGAAGAGGAGGATTCCTCTGAGACTGTACTGATCTCCACCCGACACCACAGACACTGCAATAAAACACTGGAGTTTAGAAAAACGTCACACGCACACGCATACATTTACACAATTTGTGTTACTATACCTAAGGGGTAATCCAGCCGTTAACCCTCGACTAGATGTGGAAGTTCACTGAGAGATAGTTTGGAACCTTAGTGGGTCTGCGCTGTACAATGCTTTCCTTAGTGAAGTTTTAATTCACTTTGACCTATAAAGTTGTCCAACCGAGAGGATGTTCACCTCCACAGAATGTATTACTGTCTCACACCCCACCAGGGACGCTCGGTATCATTTAAAATGGAGCAAATTCAAATTTAGAGTGACACACTCTTTAGATTGAAATGTGTGTTCTCCAGCATTACCTTAAGGAGCAGTGTTGCTTTGAATTGATCCATTTTGTATCTGTTGGGGTTTTTTTTTTTGTTGGTGGAGTTTCATAAACTTCTCAGAGCAATCAGTTGATCAACATTTGGAAAATAGATGCTTTTTGGTGTTTTATTTAGTTCGATATAGATTCAGACAAAATCTGACGATGTCACTTTGGGCTGGTAAAAGTTCTAACGAGCATTTTAATCAAACCCACATTTGAATTGGTTAAAAAATGAGGGATCTCAAAGATGTGGATCAGAGCTGGACAAGGCATTTAAAAAAAAAAAAAAAGATTGGTATGTCCACTATTAGTCATAAAGGCAGACAATTTGGGACAGGATGCTAGAGATGCAAATTTTAATTTTACTAATCACTGATCAACAGTCTGATCAGTCAACAATCAATGACTGTGTACCACAGAGCGCTCTGTAGCATACAGGACCACTGTCAACCCCAGCTTGTTTAACACACTGGGGTTCTGGTCAGAGGACATAAAATGTCACCGAAGTCTTTGTCATGATCTGAACAAAGACCCATCAAGACTGAACCGTGGAGAAAAAACTGCTGTTTGTGGAGGAAGAAACAAATCCAAGATTGACCTTTAAACTTAAGTCCTTTAAAAGCCGCCACTCAGTGGAACAATACAAACGGTTTTCTTTCTTCTCCACCACCTCTGAATATGGTGACACTTATGCTGCATTTATGGCACATATATATATATATATATTAGTGATGCACGATATTAAAATTTCTGGCCAATTCTGATATCCGATATCAAGATTTCTGATCTCGCCGATAACCGATATTACCGATGTCGATATTCAATTTTTGTTCACACCGAAAAGTGAGTATAAGGAAGCACTGTGAGAAAACGATTCAAAAGAAGCCCAAACCAAATTAGACCGCACGGTCTTCTTTATTATGTGACAACAGTAAAACATATTTTAATATATTTATGAGACGAAGGCGCTAATGTTAGACAATCATCGGTTGTTCACATCGGTTAATTTGTTCATCGGACCGATACCGATATATGGGAAAAAACACAAATATCGGCCGATATATCGTGCATCCCTAATGTGCATATATCATCATTTCCAGCTTTAAAACCATACCAATAGTAAAAAGATGCAGAAAATACCTGGGAATGTCATGTTTTCTGAAATCTCTGACTCAGCACTAAATAACGTAAAAATAACTAAATGACCAAAATGCAGTATTCAAGAAATCCAATCCCTAATTTTATACTACTGTGACACACTTCTAGCCTCCATAGCAGCACCTCTGCCTGTTACTGCTCAGCTCTATGTAACTAGTTTTCCAGGGTGTCAGTCCCAGTGAGGGTTAATAAAACCGATCCATCCATCGTCAAGCCCAAATGACATAAAGACAACACCACAGTTCACTCATTCTGTTGCATGATTTTGTCAATTTGCAAAATTGGGAACGGCAGTTTTTACAGTCATTGAGGACCAAAGATGATAAAATGTGCTCCATCTTCTCTAAAAATCCTCCGAAGATTGAAACTTAGAAGACAAATTGCCCCATTACGTATAGTAATACAAATATCTACACACACACACACACACACACACACACACAAACACAAACACACAAACACACACCAGGGTGGCCTACCTGGGCACTGCTGCTGCTGACCTCTGCCTCTGTGACCTCTCACCATTGACCTTACCACTGTCCGTCGCCCACATGGACTCCTGCTCCTGATTGGCTGCAGGAGGCTGCAGGGCTGATCTGTGGTTGGTCAGTTCAGGAAGGGGAGTGGGAGGGAATCCCAGGTGCAAAAAAAAAAATTTAAATTTAAATAAATATATAAATAGATATATTAATGAAAAACAACTAATAAAATACATATATATAAAGAGAGAGAGAGAGAGAGAAAAGACGATACCTACTGTTTGAGATGGGATGCTTACACCCAGTGCTTCATGGGAAATGTAGTTTGATGAAAAACAAATGTTTGTAGTTGCCAGCGGAGGCAGAGACAACAGATTTTGAAAAAAGAAAAAGAAAAAAAAAAAAAGAAGAAGAGAGATGCCTATGTCTTTACTAGACCGGTGACTCAGAATGCATTTATCTTAGTATTGTTAATGTTATTTATTTTATATTTTGTTAAAACTGTGATTTTAATTGTACATATATAAACAGAAACCCTTGAACATCCAACGAGAAGCAGCTTCATTTGTTCTGTGTTGTGTGAAAGTGACTTTTTTTCCCCCTTTTATCTCTCATTTTTCTTTCTTTTTTTTGCTGAAGCCACGTTTTTACTCCCTGTGGGCTCATTTTTCACTGCGATATAAAATCCTGCACATCTTTGGAATCAGCACAAATACGGCTACAGGTAGAATTAAAGAGAGCTATCATGTGTGCAGTTTAACCAGTTTGGAATCCATAAAAAGGAATCAACATTTGCTCCAAGATGCTACCAATACTGGGGTAAAAAATAAGTAAAATTTACATACTGTAGATATTTTACTACCTACGTTGTAATTTTTTTTCCAAGGCAGGATTATGGAATCATAGGAGTGCCATAAAAAAAAAAAAAAAATCTTTAAAAAAATAAAGAAATAACTGTGTAAATAGAAAGGGGAATAAATAAAATACATATATGGAAATATAATGTTTTTTTATTATTATTATTGTTATTTATTTCCCTTTATATTTACACATTTGTTTCTTTATTTTTTAGCGGATTTATTTTTTATTATGGCACTCCTGTGATTCCATACAGGACACAGTCTTCATGACAAGAACAAGCCCTTTGACATCACTCAGGTTTTGGAGCTGATGGCAGCCACTGGAGCTGACCGACACAATCTACCACAACACAACACGTCTACTGGTCTCCTACACAACCTGCAGTTGAGCCAAAACAATTCCCTGAATTATTGTCCCATGTCTGCTGGTCACAGCTGAATCAGCAAGAGCTTCACTATTGGAGCATAGAATGTTTAGTTTCATACAGAATCTGGTCAGAGAAATATGTTTATTTTTGACTTTTTCTTCAACAAGACATGTAGAATAAAGTGATTTTGATAAAATGTCTTGATTTGAAGCTTAGACTTGTCCAACTCCATGATGAATAAGAACCTGAGCCGACCCGACCCGGTAGCAGGCGGCGATGGAGCAGAGAAATGCCTCGCTCGTGTTGATTATACGTGCTGGAGGGGTGAGGTTCAACCAGACTGCGGTTGGCCCCTGCTGCTCTTCACATACTGTCACCAGCATGTAAATATTAGGGCATAAACAGCGACAGCACAGCTCTCAACAAACATGAGTTAACCAACCATCACACAATAAAAACCGCAAAAGGGAATCCCAAACAGAAAGACGTCTGGTCCACAAACCAGCAAATAATGAATAACAAATGAAAACAGACTCACTCCTGTCCTGATGTAAGAAGAACACAAAGAGGCAAGTTGACAAATGTTGTCTAAATCTAGAGGCACATCCTTAAAGAAGACAATGAAACGATTTTCCTTTACAAGTCTCCTTGAATAAACACAGTCAACATGGTGGTTGAGCTGACATTACTGTTAGAGCAACAAAACACTGGCTGTCCTGTTCAGTTTACACCTTTTAAACTTTATTGTGTCTCAACTTGGGGTGTGTGGACACCATAGACTATATAAAAGATGGACGTAGCAACCGGCCCTGAAAAATGAAGCCAACCCGGAAGTGTCAGAAACCTTATGTGTGCGAGCTGCTGGCTTCAAAAAGCCCTGGCTCCCATAGAAATGAATTGGAAAAGAAGTGAGCACAGATCACGAAATACTGCATTCCTACAGCTCAGGATTTTTTTTTTTCTTATTAGTTTTCATCATCAAGTCCAGAGATCAGGTGGCCAATCTGAAAATAAATCAATACTGAATTTTTAAAAAATCGTCAACATTTTGCGGGGCAAGGGGCGTGGCTGGCTTGATTGACAGTCGGCAGCGACCATGCAGACGAAGCGAGCAGAAGGCGGTAAATGTGGGCGGGCAGAGAGGGCCCGCCTCTCAATCTGTCTGACCAATCACTGCTCCTATGGCTCCGCCCCCCTCCAACGATTTTCTCGTCACTGGCTCCAAAAATCCAAGATGTCAACCAGGAAGTAGCAAAACCCTGGCTTCATTTTCTCCGTGCAGAAACCAACGGGTGACGTCACTGCAGCTACGTCCATCTTTTATACAGTCTAGGGTGGACACCTTGTGGTCCCCTCTTGTTTTGTCTCTAGAAGATTTATGAATAATAGATTATTTTGTTGCTATTGAACCCTCTGAATTTCAAACAGTTCATGGGGCGGTGGGCTCACTGTTCACTGCCAGTCGTGCAGCTCTACAGAAACAGCACAGCCATGGCTACAAGTAGAGAGAACGGGGGAAAAAAAAAAATCATCTGTGCAAAGTTTTCAGAATTATAATGAAGAAAAATGAAAGTTGAATTTCTCTGAATAATTACTTACAAAAAACAAACAAACAAAAAAAACCCACCAGAATCAACAAGTACAAATGTCCACAGGTGTTAACAGTTAAAGAAATGGTAACTCACACATTTAATTAGTCAGATATCTACAGTATGTGAAGTTGTTTTCATACTTGTCTTGTATACACTCTATGTCAGGGGTGTTCAATCCTGGTCCTGGAGGGCCACAATGCTGCATGTTTTAGATGTTTCCGTCTTCCAACACACCTGATTCAAATGATCAGCTCATCATCAAGCCCTGCAGAAGCCTGATAACGATCCTGATCATCTGGCCACTATGTTTGTTTATGTTTTGTGTAACGGTTCTAAATCTGGACGATAAAGCCACCGCTGAGGTGTGTGACCATGCACCCTGGTAACAGCAGGAAGGCCCAAACTGGATTAAGCCACAATTTCTCTTTGACTTATCGTCACAATGACCCGCTGTCCTTCAGTGTAAAACAATATAAAACAACACAGTGGGTTTGTGACCTGCTCGTCTCTGTGCACTTCTTCTCTGGGTTCCGTCTCCACCGCATGACTTCAGTCTGTTTTCCATCCAGGGAGAAGACACCGAACAGACCGTGGTATCTGACAGACACCCTGAAGCCTTCCAAGTGTCTCTCCACCTCCCTCTCTTTTACTCTCCCATGCTCATGTATGGAAAGAGCTCAGCAGTGTTTCCACAACAAACACGGCAGGAGCTTTCTCACCACTTCTCATCACCTCTGTCAACATGTTTGGCAACCGCCGGCATTATTTAGAAAGTGGCGATGATGACTCTGCTTTTTATTTAACTAGAGTGTGATTTATTTTAATTATATTTC